TACCGCCCTCCTGGTCTCCCGCAATGTTTACACCCATGCTCGTTGGGTCTTTGAGGATTTGCTCTGTGGCCTCACGTTGGCTGTTCACACTACCTGCATGTGGCCTGCCAGTACCTCCGCCAGGAACATGCAGAGTGGTATCTGATTATGGGTTCAATTCAGTGTATAAGTGTATGTAGTGTGGTTGCGAAAAGAAGAGCCTGTATGCGTGTGTGTGTCTGTGTCTGTTAGTTTAGGTGTGAGTGAGATGGTGTGTGTGCGTGTTTGTGCGAGTGTATATTAGTGTGGGCGCGAGAATGGGTGCCTAAGTGTTAGGGCGTGTGTGTGTCTGAGTCTGTTAGTTTATGTGCGAGTGGAATGGTATGTGTGTGTACTTGTGTAAGTGTATGTTACTGTGAGTGTGAGAAAGGATACCTGCGTGTGTGAGCGTATGTGTGTGTGCGTTAGTTTCTGTGAGAATATGGTATATGCATGAGTGTGTGTCGTGGTCCGATTCGCAACGTGTTGGCTGCGCATGCTCCCTCAGACAAACGCAGCGTAGCATCTGATTACAAGTGTACATAGAGTGTAGGCATGTGTTGGTGTGGATGTGCGAAGGTCTGATTGTGTGCCGTGAGGGACTGATGTATGTGAGCGTATTCGTGTGGTATTTGTGTGTGTGTGTGTGTGTGGCGCGTAATGGCCACATGAGAGGGCTCCGGCGTGTAAAGTGATTCAAACACTTCTGTGTGTAGGTCATCTGTGGCAAACTATATTCCAATACTATGCCACCGGCCATTCCTGGGAGAACTTGTGACTAGCAAATAAATGCCTTCTGGTATGTTCCCAGGCTCAATGTCCACACCGATCTACACCGTGTATGCAGCTCTGCGTAATAGAGTTATATCTATATCTCGCATTAACTTCGGTGCGCGCTCACATATCCGCGCATGGACGTACACAGCAAATAATAACAACAACAATAAACAACCAACAACCAGCACAACCACATATTTAACCCATATCATCTCATCCTCACTTCCCACACCACACACCCCACAACAGTCCAGTCGGACACCATATATGGGAGAAATACGCTTAAACCTACACATATTCCTATATATAGGTGAATTGCGCATAAACCTATACATATTCATATACACTTGCAGATATACCGCTAACAGACTTATTCAGCATACCTTCAGCGCCGGTGTGGAGCACAGACCTTTCTAATGTATTTCTGGAGGTGGGTGATTGTTGATACTGCAAAAGGCAAAAACAGACACGTGGGAAAGGATTTAGAATGTGAGCAATCACGACCGCCTTCTTGAGTAGCCATAGCCGCACACCCGACTTGATGTACCAAATTATCGCGTACATATCAAGAGCACGCTGAAACCCACACACGCTACGAAGAAATACGTTTGCAAATAATATCTAGAGCTAACCCCAGACCCTACAAATCCTAAATCTCAGGATATAAAATTCTAAACCCTTAGACGCAACGATTACTCGTTAACCCCAGATAATCCATACCCTTAACTAATCAGCCAATACATACACACAAACCTGGTTTATTAGCACTCATCAACCTGAAGCTCCTAAGCGATTGAATACACACACACTTGGTTTCATGATGCTCTCATGCCGATAGCTCGCCAGTGAATGCATACATGCTTATGGATTTCATGGTACTATCAAACCTATACCTCGTACCCTATTGCAGGCGCACATACTTGATTTATTGACACTCCTGTACCAATACCACAGACGATGGCATACACACATACTTGGTTTAATGTGGGTCGCCCTATAGCATACGCATCTCCGCCCAATGCCAGGCCTAACGCTGGAGATGACCCCACAACAGCCTTGACTGCACTGTCTTCCAACTCGGCAGGCAGCTGCTCTGTGGCTATAAGCTCACCAACTAGAGCTTTCACTATATATCTGTTTGTGGGGGTGTATAATGTAGGATTTAGGGTTTAGGGTTCTCCACCTGTGCCAATTGCCGAGGCCCTGTGGCTCCATCAATAAATGACTATCCAACCAAACATACGGATTTACACAGGCACCATAAACTATAATAATAAAAATGCCACACCATAATCCTATCCCCACCCAGCATACACATGAGACTGTTAGACCGGTGCGGCTTATTTACCGAGGCGTGCTTTGGCGGATGTTCAACACGACTGCTGGTTTCTCCAGGTTTGAAAACAAAGACAAGTCCTTTATTCCTCGGAGCTGTTGTAGTGGGCGCAAATTCGACGTTACAGATAGGTGCATAAATTTGCAGTCAGTGGGATCGAGGCAGGATAAGCTGAAGGACAGAAGCACACATATACAAAACGGGACAAAACGTTGTAAGCCTGTCCATTTGAAAGAGCCCAATGCGTCTAGAATCTAATGACATTGATCACGAGTTCTGGGCGTGTGTGCGTATATTTGGTACAAATACTTTTAACATACCTCATCTGCGACATCCTTGTACCCGATCTCTTGTACATCAACATTTAAAACTCCCTTTAATAGACGGCTACTCTCTGCTATATCTCCTTGCTGCTCGATGAAGGACGTGAATACGTTAATGCGGATGTAGCTACCTTTAACTATTACGGCAAAGGAAACCACCTACGGTTTCTATACAACACCGACTCAAATAACGTTATAATACGCTCACATTAGGGTACCCTGAGCCTCAAACATGACGGCTCGATCACTACAAAAATGATAGATACAGGTCAGAGAAAGCGTGTCTGGATTATACGAAAGCTGCGAATATCAGCTTCGAAAGCCTACCCGG